ATGTAATTGGGAAATAGGATCAATATCACTCTCACACTTGTCCATTTAGTGTAAAAATGGAGTCAGCTGGTGGTAAGACTAGTTTAGGATTAAAGCTATGCTAACCAGCAGCTAACCTGACTGTCTGAAGGTAACACAAAGCACCTCCCAGAACCTCTAAAACTCACTCATCAACATGCATCTTGATTGTGTGGTTGTCACAATAACAGAAATAGAAAGGACCTTTAGGTGAATGTTTGGAACCACAGCTAGGCGGTCTGTTTCTCTGTTTAATCTTGATGCTAAGCTAAGTTCACCACATGCTGGCTAGACGCTCACGGTGCAAACATGTGAGCGGTATCAACCCAATTCTCTGCAGAGAGCAAAAATGTCCTAAAATGTCAAACTTCATCTTTAATACTTCTGATATAACAACTGCTGTTATAATACCCTGATGCATATTTTTAAATAAGTTACCAATTATTCAACTTCAAACCAAACTAAGTTGGATAACAGCGGGAGTTAGCCCCTGTTAGCTTCTTTGCTACTTCCTGAGTCCTGGTGCCTGAAAGTGTTCGCTGTTCCACTTCACTGCTACACAAATGCAACAGCTACACATATTGGAACCACACATTTCTGCTAAACTGAGTTGGTTATTTACATATGAAACGATATTTTACTTGTTACTTGGTGAAAGCCTGGACGATTAGGAGAAACTGCTCTTTATCGAGATAGGATTGTAGCAATTCTTTTCTTTTGGGTTCTGTTAGGAGCACAAATTTTTGCACAAAAATAGATAAAATAAAAAAAATACATAAATAAACATGAATACACATAATGTTTTCCATTTGTTTTGTGTATGTGTGTATAAAAATGTCATTCTATGTGAATTTCTCCACTGTGAGATAAATAAAGGCATATCTTATCTTATATTTTTGTTGTTCCATGGGTCAGCCATTGATATGACATGGAAATGAAATCCCACTGGATGAAATTGTACATTTTAATTACTAAAACAGGTGTAACAAGGATTAATGAAATCAACCTAAAGTACATCTTTACCTTCAGTTTGTCTGTAGAAAGCTGAGTCGCTCCCACAGACGCTGCCCTCATTGCAGATGCTCTCCTCGTAGGCGCTGCCCTCTGCAGACATACAGATGTTGACATGTAAAGACACACACAGGACATTCACATGGAACTAATCCTGAAACTAGATCAGGGTAAACCTTTAAATTAGATGAAGGATTAAAGAGAAAAACAGTGTGCCTTTTGTGTTTCACTGGGTCATGGTGATTTGTTTTTAATGTGAAATAGTCACATGAAATGCTGCAGCAATGGTAAGAATTACTTTTAAATGTGCTCTATGTGTTCTGTCACAATAAAATACAAAAACGCATATGTTAGTGATTTGGTATGTCTGTGCTGTAAACAGGGTTACAAACCAGAAAGTGCCTCTTATTGTTGAGCTTTGACATGTGAAATGCAGGACTTGATAATTAAGCAGTAGAGAGCTCAGTCACACTGAGAGAGTTTCCACTTTCAACTCTGACCTCTGCTCATGTCATGTAAATATTCATGCAACAATGTGGCCATTTGTGGTTATATAAGTGCATTAGAGCGACCTCGTGTGTGGCATTACCAGGCGGCCTGATCTGTGTGCAGCAGGTCCAGCAGTACAGTAGAGTACACAGGGTCACTTCCAATCATTTTAAGGGGTAAAGAGAGCACTTAAACCAAGTGATGTGAACTGTTTTGAAAATGCAGCGAGCATTGTAAAATAACTGATGGGAAAAAAAACAAGAACTTTTATTTGTGTTTCAGGGGCAGAGCAGGGATTTTGCTCCAGTGACCCCTCACAGATGTGTGTGCAGACATCTGTGTTGTAACACCTAATGAGTCGGGACACATTTGGCCCCAGCACAGGGACAAGAAAAAGACGCATGACGAGCACAGCAGCTGAAGGTCACTGTAAGCCTGAAGGCAGCACGAGTCTCTCAGGAAGTGGCAGCAGCAGGCAGGAGTACATAAACTGTGGTGCAGACTGTAAGATGTGTAATTGCAGCATGTTTAGGTGATTCTTAATGCAGAATAACATCAGCAGTGAAGTCTCTTTAGATCTTCAAGAAAACCTAAAACTGAGAACGAGGCAGTAATGCTGAATATTCATTCACTTCATAACAAGCTGACACATTGACCGTGCCGAGGAGAAACAACCTCCTGCTTCTATTAGTAACCTTACAGTATTTTATTCTGCTTCTTTAGTGTTCTTATTGAGTGAGCATCTTCATGTGTATGTATCGCCTTTATCCTCCCCAAAATCTCCGCCTATGCACAGGCAGCACAGCGGGGCTTTAATTTACAGTGGCTGTTAAAAGCATCACCCACCCTGGAAGTTTTCCCTTTTTATTGCTTTTCAACACTGAACCATGGTCAAACAATTTGGGATTTTTTAGCAATAATTTACCCTCCAATAAAGATTCTTTCACGTCAACACAAAAGCAGATCTCTACAAAGTAGTGTCAATTAATGAAAAATATAAAACATAAAATAGTTTATCGCATAAGTATTTACCTCAGTGTATACAGTAATTTAGCTTTCTTCCAAAAAAGCAGTGTTTTGTCAGGCTCACGTTTCATATGTCTTAACAGCTCCACCACATTTTTCCTTCTAAACTTCACATACAGTTTCATTTCAATAAATGTTCAAGTGATCAAATATCTCACAAAAACAAAAGACCACAGAAAAAGTCCAAAACAAATGTGTCAGAATTTGCATGTATCTTCTCATGACCCCTCAGATTTATCTGCTGTTGTTAAAAATAAATCTGCATATAAAATAGTTCAAACCTGCAGCAGCTCCAACAGTAATGTGCTGCTGACACACTTCACTGTTAATGTTCTAATGATGCTCTGTATACTAATATATCAGTCAATGGGTCAAAATCAGAACTTTTGCTGCTGTGTACTTTTACTGAAGTTGGATTTTTCATGCGGGACTTTTGCTTGTAATGGAGTATTTTTATGTTGCTGTACTGGTGCTTTTATGTAGGTGAAGCATCTCACTACTTCTTCCACCTCTGGGTTTAACACGGAAAAAGTCCACAATGTATTTGTTCACTCATAACTGAAATGACCATCGTTCCCTGACATTAACGAACGAGCTTCTGTTACCTAAACCATCCACCCCATCACCTCCTGTCCTCTTAGATGCAATCTATATATGTATATATATACTAGTGCTTCATTTCTCCAGTTATTACATAGTAATTGGGAAAATTATTTAGTACAATACAAATGTAATTTCAAGGAATCAGGTAAAAAAAACAAAAAGGCAATCCATCGAATAGTTGTCTATATATTTCACTCAGAAAGCACACATGTCATCCCCTGAGAATCACCGGCTATCTATTTACCAAGAAGTGATTTTTCAACGTTACCATCCACAGAGCCATGCACTCACAATGACTAACAAAACAATTTCAAAGTGGTGATAATATTATAAAAGCTGAATAAAATCAACATTCAATACACACATTTATGTTTTTATTATTACTGATGATGTCAAAGATTTCTGACATTAAATTCTGTAAAAGTGAAAATTATTTCAATCACCGATTAGGTTATTGGCAGTGAATTAACTGATATGATTATAGTTTATTTTTGTTTTTTTTCAAACAATAATAATAATAAAAAAAAGAGCTGATGAAGGATTTTTTTATTGGGGATTTTTTGGACTGTGGTTGCAGAAGACAAGACATCTGAAGACATCAGGTCACGTAATGCTTTAAGTAATCGTGTTAGACGTCTTTCACACTTTTTGACAGTGGATCAAGAAAATAATCACTGGTCAAATTGATAGTAAAAAAAACTCTTTTCTGTACTTTGTACTACATTACATGACCGCATTTGTCCTGCATTGCATGTGTCTCTTGTTTCTCTTGTGTCTCTTGCCTTTGCTCTGTTCCTCAGGGTCACTTTGTTCTCTTGCTTTAGTCTTTAGAGGAGGATTGTCTCTGAGCATTGTTGAATAACTGGACTGTGCTGAAGAGTCTTGAGGGGAATGTTTCACTGCTACACAAATCTCGCAGCGGATTCAGAATCACACAGCATTCAGTCCTAAGTGTCAGCTCTATTAATCCTGGTGCTGTTCATGGAGCTCACACTGTAACATCAGCAGGACCTTCTATGAGTCACAGATCTGATTTGGCAGCCGAATAAACACAGCTGAGTTTTCAGTGCAGGTCAGTCAAAAACAAATAAAAATGCCTGATGAGACAGTGTGTGCTCAAGAGTGTGCATGTGAGTGAAAATGAAAGCAGGGCTACCTACATCAGATGCCAGCCCACATCCGTCCTCCTCCCACAGGGGTCACAACTCTGCATCATCTGCAGCCTGCAACCTCTCACCCACAAAACACACATAATTCTCAGAAATCCCTTGTCGGTTCAATCAGATCAGAGTCACGGACTAATGGTCCGGAGATGCTCGGCTGCTTTGTCCCTGACTAGACCTACACGCTGCAGCATATGCTGCTAGGTGAACACGTTCATTCAAAGCCCTGTATCGTACTACAAATACATTTTCAGTGTGGTTTCCCCTGCAGGGCTCCTAACGCTGCCTGGGTCTGCTTCTCATTCAGCTGATGACCCAAACAAGCTTCTCTTCTATGACAACACTGAAACATGGACCTCAACGTCTAGTTTATATATTAAGTTAAACTGCAGGACTTTAACATACAAATAAAGACCCTTTACATTCAAGCTCTTATCAAACAGTTTCCCACCATGCTGATTAAGCCTACAGACAGCAGTTTAATCTCTCTGTATTTTGCAGTGTCTTTGTGTTTTAAGTCTCGTGTTTGTGGTGACATTCCTGCACTTGTGCACCAGGAGCGATTTTACATCAACCAGCACTGACTGCCAGAGCTGAAGAAGGGAGCAACTGTAGCAAGACAGGGTAGGCTACAGCATGATGGAGCCTGTGGTGTAGAAACCTGGGAAGCTTCTGAAAAGGTTTCTGATGTTCCAGATAAAAGAGAAACTCGGCATTCAGAGGAAGGATTAAAGTCAAGAAAAAAAAAGAAAGTGATTGACAGCAACATGAGCATCCATCGACAGCGTTTGGGTAATTACATTCACTGCAAAAGACAAACGTTCCAGACTGCTGGTTAAGTATGAACAACCGAAACATTCTCACTGTGAACAGGGAATCAAACTAAAAATCACCAAATATGTTGAAGCTCATAGATAAACCTTTACACTGAACTGAAGCCTTAAACTGATTTGGCAGCAATACAAACCAAGTATAATTAAATCTGGTGACATTTACATGCTGAACTACTTTTAGCAGGCAGAAAGCAACACTTCGCCTGCAGTCGAGTTGCATCAAACCACCTTTTTCTCACAGCAGTGATGGAGGGTGCTTTCTTAAGCTGGTCAGGTCTGAATGATCAACTCATCGGGTGAAATCTACCTCCAGATACATGTAAAGTACCCAAAACCTGAACTATGCTCACCAGCAGTGTTGGAAGTAATGCCTCAGCAGGTTCACTTGTCAGAATACTCTGAATACTTTGTATGTAACAAGTAACGCAACACGTTAGTTTTGCAATTCAAGTCATCAGTTAAGTTACTTTTTCCAAATAAGCAATCTGTTATTATCAACACTTTAATTTATTTCTCCGTTCCTTTTGTAGAATCAAAATTTCAAAAAGAAAAGAAAAACATGACAGCAGGTGACAACGTAAAAGGTTATAAAAACTAAACCCTTGGCCCCTGCAGTGAGGAGATCAGGTGGACCTGTTATGCTGCAGGGGACATTTTTGGTCCACAGGTCCTGGTAAATATAGGGTCACTGCAAATCAATACACATTTGTTCTGAGTGATTGCCTTTATGCTATGATGAAACATTTCTGTCCTGGTGGAAGTCTCTTCCAGGATAGCAAGGTCCCATTCTGTAGGACACGAGAGGTCACTGAGTGGTTTGATGAAAATAGAGGGAATTCTGACCAGAACCAGTCAGAGATCACATTTCTCCAGTATTAGCTTCTCTTCATTGGCTCCCTGTAAAATCCAGGATAGAATTTAAAATCCTGCTTCTCACATATAAAACTCTCAACGATCAGCTCCATCTTATCTTAAAGACCTTATTGTACCATATCATCCTAACAGAGCCCTTCAATCTCAGACTGCCGGTCTGCTTGTGGTTCCAGAGTTTCCAGAAGCAGAATGGGAGGCAGAGCCGTCAATTATCAGCTCCTCTGTTGTGGAATCAGCTCCCAGTTTGGGTTCTGGAGGCAGACACCCTCTCTACTTTAAGATTAGGCTTAAAACTTTCCTCTTTGATGAAGCTTATAGTTGGAGCTGCTCAGGATCACCTGAACTGTCCCTTAGTTATGCTGCTATAGCTTTAGACTTGTCATGTCTGTCAAGTTTCTGTTTTGTGTGCACATTTTGTCTTGTCTTTCCTGTTTTATTCTGAAATCACTGACCGGTTGTCTCTGTTCTACATTCACTTCCCACACCTGTCTTGTCATACCTGCTCCCTGATGGCTTTCCCTCACTTGTTTCCCATCTCCCCTCATTACCTCATGTATATTACCTTGTGCGTCTCACAGTCTCGTTGCCAGTTCGTTGCACTTTCACAGTCTTCGTACCAGCATTCTTCACAGCCATAGTCATAGTCTGTTTGTTACGACCTCGCTTCTGTTTTCGGACCTTGCCTTTTGCTTCTCGTTTTTGATACCTTTACCTGTTTTGATTGACCTCCTGTGTACCAAACCCTGACCGGTAATAAACCTGCCTTCTTACCTGAAACCTATCTGTGTCGAGCATTTGTGTCGGCCAACTCTGATCTGTGTGAGTTCTTGACAAGACTGTTGGGGGATTCCCATGATGCACTGGGCTCCTCTCCTCTCTTCCTTACATTTATACATCACCATTACATGTCACTACCTCTGTGTTTCACTGGAGGTCCTGTGCTTGTTCTCTCCGGATCTGGAGCTTCATGTCTCTGATCTGCAGTTTCTGGCCTCACTGACCTCCAAATATTGTCTGTTCTATTGCTTGCTCTCCATCTGCTATCCTGTTATCCCCACCCCACTCATCCACACTCTCACCCAACCGATTGAGGCAGATGGCCGCCTTCCCTAAGCCTGGTTCTGTCAGAAGTTTTTTTTCCCTCCCTTGCTTGCTCAGATGGAGTCCAAAGGCAGCTTGGATTGTTGGGTTCTCTGTTCAACATTCGTACGGTCCTCACCTTACTATGTTAAGCGCTGTGAGATGACATATGTTGTGAATTGCACTATATAAATAATCCTAAATTGAACTGAATGGAATCGTATGCTCTGGACTTCACAGTCACCAGATCTCAGGCTAGTTTAACACCTATAGGAGGTTTTGCACTGATGTGTTCGACATTTTTTAAAAATAGAACACGACTTTCAAACCTGCCAGTGTGTTCTGGGGTTCAAAGGGTTAAAACTGTGTGTATAATCTGTGACTGGTGTCTTCACATATGCATCTGTCATTTGTACACACATTTGTATACTATACAATAAAACCCAAATACAGAAGCATTGACTGTCTGCTGAGTGAAAATATGGAGGAAATGAACCAAAAATGACTATACGTGTCAGCCACAGTAATCTGCTGAAGTTATGTGAGATGAACGCCAAGAGCTTAATCCTGTTTCACCCTCTCCCTAACTTGCTGTTCTCCGCTGCTTTGAGATATGAAATCAGAAAACTACACATTCAAAAGAAAACCAAGCTCATGCAGTGGAGAAGACATCGGATCATTTCTCTGGTAATGTGTGTGCAGCGTTCAGCGCAGGATTAGGCCTGTAGAAAAGATCTGAAGCAGTCATATGGAGGGTTTTAGTACACCATCAGGTATCACATCTGTTGTCATGTCAGTCATGTAACATGTCGAACATGGGACACTGTTGTATGATTCCGTTCCATGCAGATTTTTTTAAGCAAGCATTCAACTTATGGAGTAAAAGCAGTTTACCAGTAAGCTCTGACAGTGCACTGTGCTCGGCCAGGTGTTTCCTGTAGAGAGTCTTCAGCACTTTGGCGCTGCCAAACCTCTTGAAGCGTTTCTTCACATTAGTGTAGAACCACTCCAACGACTGGGTCTTCAACAACCTGAGAGACAGACGGACAGGCAGACAGAAGGCAGCTTCATTTCAGTATGTGTCCTCACTGTGCCTGGTTCTGTCAGAGGTTTTTTTCCCCCTCCCAATTCGGGTTTTTTTTTTTTTTGGTTCTTCCAATCGTTGCTGACCGCTTATTCAGAGAGAGTCCAAAGACATCTTTGGATTGTTGGGTTCTCTGGTTAAATTCATGCCTAACCCATAACACTCACTTAAAGTCAGCATACCAAATATGAATACAGTGGTTTTTGCACACTTATACACAAAGAAACACACAGGAGACAAAGCACTCTTACTGGCTATGTATTTGTTGCTTCATTTGTACAGTGGCCCAGAAGTGTCACAACAAAGCAAAAGCAACAACACAACACAATTAGCTGCAACACTACAAAATAAGCCGCAACACAATACAACGGCTGTAGCGGAAGTTGTTGGGGGTTTTTTTACCCAGAAGTTATACTGGGAAGTGCGCAACCACACGAAGTGGGCAGAAGCTGGAGATTGTTGGAAACAACTCCAGAAGTAAAATACTGATAGTAAATAATTTTTACTAATAGCGCATAACAAGATTAATGGACACTATTTGCCATCAGTATTTTACTTACTTTCGAGTTGTTTCCAACAATCTCCGGCTTCTGCTCACTTCGTGTGGTTGTGCACTTCACAGTATAACTTCTGGGTTAAAAAATAAAACAAAGACAGGAGAGCTTAAAGCCTCACTGAAATTAAATTAAACTGAAGTGATACAGGCAAAAACTGTGAAATTTATAATAAACTGCATAGAAAATGCAGGATAAATGGTCAGTAAATAACCATTGGATCAACCATCTACTTATGTTGTAACCATAAAACTTATATTAAGATTTTGGAGGTGACAGAAGTAATATACAGCATAACCTGCACAGAACATAACAACCCTGATTGTCTTCAAGAAAAACACTTGTGATACACATTTAGCTTATAAAAGAGTTTTCGCGGAATCAGACTTGCACATTCGATATAAATATAGACATGGCCCAGATTTAGTGCTGATGAACCTCTGTAAACTGTAAAGCTACTCTGTCCTGTTACACAGAGGCACAGATGAACATATTCAGCTGCAGAAAGCTGTGCAGGCTCAACCTCCATTCTGTCGCTAACGTTGTTCCTCAAACCCTGTCTGCAACTGTGTAATAAAGCAGAAGGTTCACAGGAGACCCAGCAGGCAGAAAATTCATATCGTCTTTGAGTGTATCTGCTCATTGGAGGAGACCAGACTGCAGAGTGGATGCTGGTTCAGCCACAAAAGTGTGTCACAGTGATGTCTACAAGACAACAAGGCAACGTGCTGGCAGCTCTGCTCTGGAACTGGGCGGTTAGACAGCAACAGAGTCATGTTCTTGTGACTGCTCCCGTTGACGTGAGAGGTGAGTTGGAAAAGTTATGCAGCTGATAATCTGCTGAGGTGAGAGCCAAGACCACACAGCAACGCTATACAATCTGCATTAAGAAGTGGCACTGAGAAATGGAAATATTTCACACTCACTTAAGTATTTCAGAACGAATCTTCTATTGCATGCAATCAACTGGCGCACAAACCTGTTAGAGACTTTGTCATCTAATATAGAGGTCAATAGATATGGGTTCTTGAACGACCGACACCGTGTATTTAGAGATCTGCTGATGGGCAATACATAATCGAGACATCATGTTGTTGCTTTTTAGCAGCTACACTTTGCCACACTTTAGCCACAGCTTTCAGCTATAATACTTATAGAATCATATCAGAAATTGCAGTTTTATGTTAGTTAAGGCTAACAGTTGTTGACCATTCAACAAATATCCCAAATCTGATAAATGTTTACCAGCCACAGCTCCATGGGAGTAGGAGTAGCACACAACAGTTTTTTTAGCTGCTGGAATTGACATTACATTTCTCAAAAAACACAAGTCAAGTTTCTCACTAAAAGAAATGAATCAATCTAATTATACAGACAGTGTACACTGTATATACACTGTTGCCCATAAAGTTGGAATAAAATATGTTTTTATCTCTTCTCATGAAATTGTTGTGACAATGCGATTTATTCTTGATAGATAAAGTGTATATCTTCTCAAAACTTTATTGATATCACAATATACATACAATACATATCACAGTAGAAATTAAACCACAATGAACTTTTGCAAACTCTGCAGGTTTAAACTTAATTGGGGGTATTGAACAATAGGATTAAGGGTTTTTTCTTCAGTTTTTCAGCCTTGGTCATATAACAGGAAACACATATTCGAGGGGATTTCTTGCATAAGAATGTCCAATATTGCTCTTTCAAATGTCACTCGGTCGCTAATATTGAGTATGACCACCCCTGACACGGATCAATGTGTTAGACATCGTGACACACTGTCCACCAGCTTGTTGATGGTGTCAATGGGCAGGACGTCCCACTCTTCAGTCAGATCCTGAAGTCAGAATTGCTTTCACCTGGTAACAGTGCATTATCAAAGTAGCCAGTTCAATATATTGAGCAGATGTTTAAGTCCCAGTTTGGGTCACAGCACACACTGAGTGCAGTGAAACTGACCCCGAGGGGCAGCAGTATACTGACAAAGCCAACTTTGCTTTTTTGTTTGTTGTGTTAGACAGACTGGGGGTTGGCTGATGTGTTTTTTCAGGGCAGGTATTGATTCTATCGGTCATCAATCATCATCTATCAACCCATTTTCTCCTACTTGTTTGGGGTTGTGTTGCAGTGGCAGCAGGATAGCAGCTCATTCCAGACATTCTCTCAAGCAATTCTGGGATTACCCAAGGACTTCCTTCTAGTTAAACGTACGCAGAAAACCTCCAAGGAAAGGGAAGGAAGGCACCTAATATCTGAACCACTTCAGCCAGCTCCTCTGTGAGCCACACTGCTGAGGACACTTATCTCAACCACTTGCAGATTCACGTTGATACAAATGAAGGTGTAAAAAATTTGATTAACCCTAATCGGGACGTTTAGGGTCTTTTGGATTAGATTAGATTAGATTTTTTTTATATATATAAAAAGAGGGACATTTGTCATGCAATTGGAACCAAAAATGCGTCACCTTTTCAGATAGTTTATTTCACAGAGTATAAAAATCTATAATGAATACCAACAAATATTTTGCAGATATTCTTGTGTAACCGATGAAATAGCTTTGTGGGTGGGACTTTGCTTAAGACCGCAGAATGACTACAGAAGGACAGAGGCAGCTGCATCAGAGGCAAAATAATTCATTCAATTTTCGGAAATTGATTGAAAATAACAGCACTGGTGGGGCTCCTGTAGCTCAACCGGCTAAGACGGCAACCCACAAATAGGGGCTATAGTCCCCGATGCAGTGGCTGTGAGATCGACAGCTGACCATGGCCATTTGCTGCAAGTCTCTCCCCACTCTTCTCCTCGTTTTCCTGTCTCTCTCCACTGCTCTAATAAATAAAGGCAAAAGCCAAAAAAAAAGAAAAAAAAAAAAAGAAAATAACCAATAATCAGAAAAATGTTGAAGACTGGATCTGATAATCGGCCAGGACGATAATCAGTCGAGCCCTAAAAAGGACCAGAGGTAGACAGGCTCTTTTTTTCTTGGGATCATCTCATTACTCTGTAGAATTATTTGAAAGACAATATGACTGCGCGAAGAAATTTACACACAGTGGCTTTAAATTTCTGAGAAATGTCTGTTTATAGCTTTGTATCATCTCACAGAGCAAACACTGTCGTTTATGTACAGTATAATTAGCATTACTTGACTCATGTCTCGTCTTGAAGTTTACTTCAGATTAAAATAAAGTAGGGTTGAAATGAATGTTTAGGAGTGACAGCTGCACAGATATTCATGTCAGCATGTTTAATGAGTTACCATCTGTTGGTAGGGTGGCGGTGTGAGTGTGTCAGCTGTACAGTACAGCTGACAGGAAGTAGAGGTGACACACAAAGTCTCCGAATGTCACCTACCGTCAGCCTCCTCCTGCTCCATCCACATACACAGACAACTGGAGGGAACCGTCAGTGAGGCTTTAAGCTCTCCTGTCATCTCTGTTTTCCTCAAACGGCTTCATCACCAATTAAAAACACCGACACATCCGTCATTAAGACGATAGCTGAGACAGAAGTAAACAGTATTATGGGATTTTTCTCTGAGGAATTATTACTGAGCGTCAGGCATTTCCAATGTGGTGATTATTGTTTGCTTTTTAAACATTAAAATCATGAATGTTAGGCTCTGGCTCTGGCTATGTGTTTATTACAGTGTTGACATTTGAGGTTCAGTGATCCATGCTGTCACCTCACACCAGGAATTAATGGGTTTGAGTCGTTCTGAGTGGACTTTGTATGCTCTCCCTGTAGGTGAAACTTTAAGTTGCACATAAGGTGTCTGCCTCCGTCTTACCAAATGCATGCTGGGATATCTGAAAAAACAACAATGAATGATCCTACTAACAATGCTGCCAGTGTAGCTAAAGCTAATATCGCTTCTTCATCCGTGTCAAAGAGCTACAAGCTGTTAAAACACGTAGAAATAGTTCCAACAAATCCACTGTTTAGTTTGCTGTAAAACTGCAGCATTCGGCAGTTTCTGGAAATTTTTTAACCTTTTTGAAGAAAAAAAACAAACAGTATCATTGTGAAATGTAAAATGATGTAAGTCTTCAGCAGGAACCAGTAGAAACATGAGTAAAGTATTGAATTCTTGAATTCTTTTTTTTTTTTTTTAATATTTCCCCCACTTAAAGGTTTAAGACCATCAAAAAATTTAAATATTAGACAAAGATAACCAAACTAAACACAAAATGCAGTTTTTAAATGATGATTTAATGTTTTAAGGGAAAAAAGCTGTCCAAACCTACCTGGCCCTGTGTGAACAACTAATTGCCCCCCTTGATAAATCATGAAGTAACTGTGGCTAATCACATTTTTCGAAAAGCTGAGTTCAATTTCACTGATCACACCCAAGCCTGATTACCTCCAGACCTGTTCAATCAAGAAATCACTTCAATAGAACCTGTCTGACAAAATAAAGTCTGCCAAAAGATCTCAAAAAGCCGCAACAAAATGAGAAATAAAGTCTATTAGTCTGGATTGGGTTACAAAGCCATTTCTAGCGCTTTAGGACTCCAGTGAACCATGGTGAGAGCCATTATCCACAAAAGGAGAAAACATGGAACAGTAGTGAACCTTCCAGGAGTGGCCGGCCGACCAAAATGACCCCAAGAGCACAGCGACGACTCATCCAGGAGGTCACAAAGGAGCCCAGGACAACATCTAAAGAACTGCAGGCCTCCCTTGCCTCAGTTAAGGTCTACTTGGGTTATCTTTGTCTGATATTTTCATTTGTTTGATGAACTTAAACAGTAAAGTGGGAAAAATATGCAAAAAACTAAGAATTTGAGAAGGGGGTAAATACTTTTTCACGGCACTCTATGTCATCTCATAGCACTTCACATAGTAAGGTTTATTTTAATTTTAAATAGAGAAACACAAAAAATACAAGTTTCTTTTGGACTCTCTTTGAACGACAGTGAGAAGGAGGCAAACATGCTCTTTTTTACTATGAAGGCCCAAAAAAAACCCCAATAGAACCAGGCTCAGGGAGGGCAGCTATCTGCCTCAACCAGTTGGGGTGATGGCAAATGGTAACTGGTCTGCCCTTATAGCGCTTTTCTGCCAGACTGTTACTCAAAGCACTTTACAAAGTTTCTTATTCACCCATTCACAAACACATTCACACACCAACAGCGACAGAACTTCCATGCAATGTGCTGCCTGCCATTGGGAGCAACTTGGGTTTTAGTGTCTTTCCCAAGGACCCTTTGGCATGCAGAGGGGATCGAACCACCAACCGTCCGATCAGTGGACAACCCACTCTACCATGTGAGCAAAAGGAATCAGTGATGACGGAATTGTTTTAGTGGAACATTTACATGTATGGAGGCAAACGTTGCCATTAAAAAGACTCATTCCCTAAAAGAACCAAACAGGCCTGCCTTAATGCAAGACTCAAATCCTCGATAAAACTTGCAGTATGCAGGCTGCTGCTCAGGGGTTGCTGTTGTTTCCTGTCCTGAAGGGATTTTCAAAACAGCAACATGCAAATAGCAGAGAAGGAGGAGAAGGCGGTTGAAATGCATGGTTGAAATGGCAGACATGTACCCCAAGTCTACATCCACAGAGTCAGACTAGGTTGCGGCTGATCTGTGTGTCTGACCAATTTTGTAGTTTTGACCATCTGATGGTCCCGTCAGCTTGTTTTCTAGTGCAGTAGAGTGGACTGGTTAAAGAAGAGCAGTTTTGTTCACAAGCAGTATTTGACAGTAATCAGACATTCTCACACATAGACACTATATATAAATACACATGTAAACATGCAACTAAAAAGAATAATATAAAGATAAGATAAAGATAAACTTCATTGATACCACAGTGGGGAGAGTTCACTGTTCACCATCATATCAGAAATATGACAACCTGAACAGTAAAATCTGAATGATTCTACTTTTTGGAGGGCACCATAAATATAAAAATAAAACTGATGTAAACTAATTGTTTTTGTTTGTTTAACAAGCTAATGGCTGACGGAAGAAAAGACGTCAAGTATCTGTTCTTCTAGGCAACAGCGCCGCAATTATTTTTATTGTCATATATTTATTGTTTTATTGCTAATCTGCTGCTCATTTAGTCAATTAACAGATTAGTTGTTCGGTCTATAGAATATCAGAAAATGTTGAAAATTGTTGGTCTGTGTTTCTCAGTAGACCAAGATGACGTCCTCACATGTTTTGTTTTGTACACACCCCAAAAATAATCAATTTACTGTTACAGAGGAGTAAAGAAGCTAGAAAATATCCACATTTAAGAAGCTGTAGTTAGATCATTTAGAATTTGCTTGAAGGATTGTGAAAATAGTTGGTAATTATAACTAACTGATAACAAACAACTAATTGGTTCATTGTTGCAGGTCTTCTACAGGAGAGCTGATCCTGTGTCCTGATGGAAGAACCTGAAACTCCTTGTGCACTGTTGTGCATTCACATTACTGCCAAAGATCTTCTGACACATGGAGGTGAGAAAGGTGGGAGCTTGTAATTTTTATCTCAAACTCTGTTTTTCCTTCTCTACACAATTACTTCTGTCACTTTTCCCCTGAGAGAGAGTTTTCATGGATTCTCACGTCTCGGCCTCCTGTATGAGACATTACAAGTCAGCATTCGAGGCAGTTGTCGTCAATTTGTCGTACAAACAGCATTTAAACTTATGAAATAAAACCAACCTGACCTTTAAAAGAAAATGTCGAGTATCCAAAATTTCAGAAGGAATCTTCATCACTAGAAATTTTCAATCCAGCAGGCATTGTTTTGTTTATTAAGTGAGTAAACTAGAAATTGACTACATTAAAAATGTTAAAATGACCAAATAGAGACACGACACACCACAACACTGTAAAAATGCAGTGAACCATGTCAAATGTACACATCTGAATGGTGCACCAAAGCTTGAAACAGACAGTGCATTCATAAAAATACCCTTTTAATAAAAGAAAAGAAAATTGCCTTTGAAAATACATTTTCTCCCAACCTCTAGCTTCAGAAGTCTCTCCCTCTCTCCCTCTCTTCCTCCCTGTCATGTTGCATTAGTGCAAACATTCCAGCCAGAGGAGACTTTATCCTGTGCTGTATCTTACTGACTGTGTTGTGTGTGATAAGTGCTAAATCCATCTCTCCAGCAGCAGAGTAAAACCTTAATAACCTTTGACGTCACTGTCAGCCTTTTATCCTTAACTTAGCCTCCTTGTATATCACACACACACACACACACACACACACACATAGCATCCAACCCTCCGCACTTCCAGTCGCCACCGCCGACCTTACCTGCTCTTCTGGCAGGCGGAGCAGAGCCAGGCTTTGTCCTGCTTGTTGTAGACCCGGCAGGCCTTGCAGACGTTGTAGTGGCAGTCCCGGCACTGGCGCTTGGGGTTGAGCAGGAAGGTGAAGGGCGAGCAGCAGCGGATGCAGCAGCGCTGGTTGAAGCAACTCTGCCGTGACAGCAGGAGGCAGCGACTGCCCTCCTCATCCAGCTCCTGCTTCAGTTCACTGGGGGGAGGAGGGGGGGAGGACAGGAGGGAGGAGAGGGAGAGAGAAGCTGGTTAGAGGCAGGAAGATAGTGAAACCAGGAATGTGTGTGTGTGTGTGAGAGAGAGAGAGAGAGACAGTTGCATAAAATCTGTTTGTAAAAAATAAAAAGATGTTTACGTGTGTAGGATGAGAAGGGGAAGATACAACGGTCATGGGTTTACTGTGTCAAATAGGATGATTATCCCAACGAGGACACAGAGTGCACATAACCCAGCAGACACACTGATCCTCTGCATCTCCCTTTAATGAAAATGGAGCATAAACTAAAGTGGTTTCACAAATTTGGGTCATTTTGATTTCATCATTTTCTAAACATCAACAAAAGGTACGTACTTGTAAAAATGCAGCAGCATGTAATGTAGCTTTTAACGTCATGATTCACACGATTCATTTCAAGGCAAAACGCCCTCAAAATGTTATATAAAAAAAATCTCATTCATACACGTCTGATTGAATGTTTAAGCATTTATCTTTCCGCATCCATTTAAACTCGTCATGTAAAGGTTACAGGAGGAGGCTGAGCTGAGCGACAGCAGCGTGTTTCCTCGACAGCAGCAGCAGCAGCTTTTGCATATACATGGCCACAGATGATACAAAACATTCATCACTGGTTCAGAAAATGATCCCAACGCAAGGTGAGTTAAGTAGCTGGAGCTTTATCTGGGTTGTGGACGAAGATGGTCTCACTTGCTTTTATTTTTTCAGGGAAAAGCTGCTCATGAACCCAAACTACAGTCTGCACCTGCAAAGTGTCAAAATCAAAGTGTTTTTTTTTTAGCTAAAGCCATTAACAACGGTGATGAGGAGAATTTTTTTCATTATTATATAGAAGATTGTAAAATCAGGCAGAAATGGGGTAAAGGGATTCATGATGTTTTCATCCTCAACAGTGTAACAGTGATTTCTTTCCCATGAAAATAATCCCTTCCTGCTTTAACACTGGCTCAGATGGAACCATTCAACCACATGTTTGAGCCAGACACCAAATCTGAAGAAGAAGAATGATATAGAAAGTCAGGTATGTTTGTAACACAAGACATCTCAGAAGTCTAAATGTGTGTGTTGAGACAGTCACCTGCACATGGCACATTTAAGGCCATGATGTTACTTCCAGCATATAAAAAACATCATATAGACACATTAACATCTGCAATCTAATGAAGATCACGTTGTGTGACTGAGCGCTGCAGAACAGCTGCTAACCTTAAAGTGACTTGCTTTGGAGCTCAAGAACAGCTTTTGAACCTCAGACTGATTATCACATGTATCAGCGTCACCATTACTTTAATTCATTTTTAAATCCTCTGTGCTGCTTTATGTAATATGTTTTGTTTAATACTTGTAATTAATTTTACAATAAAATGTATTTAAGACCAGTTTGATTTGGGATTTTCTCTGAGTGCAGTTTTCCCAGAACGCTCGCAGTGCTGCAGCAGCTTGTTGTATCTGGCACAAATTACTCATACAGCATAAACAAATCTGTTTCTGTGCTGCACAGAGATGCAATTAACATTATTAACTGCAATCTGCTTCTTGTATAGTGGAATTAAAATGTTGTTTTTTGTTCACATCATCAGTGAACATTTCTGTTAGACTGCAGCCGGTTTGTGAGGCCCTAATCTGATCTGGTCAAACTGGTTAAAGCCTTTATCTGGGAAATACATGATTTATTTATTCAACAAATTCAATTCAAATTAATGAAACTGTTCATCAGCGTGGTGCTGTCACCTTGGTTTGCACACTTCTCTTCAAGTGTCACCAGTGTTTGTTATGTTGCAACTAACTACTTCATTGTCTTTTTCTGTTCCTTTTGTGCCTCTGTTAGTTTTACATTAGAGGTATTTTGAGCGCCACCTTTTAGCTGCACATCAAACATCTTCCCTCCTGCAGGTTACTGGGCTCTGCTTTTACATTTGCCCTAAAACGTGTGTTTAGCTTTCCGACTAAATCCAACACAATCGGGGGAATGTTGAATGTTAAGCACCTCAACATATACAGCTGTTGTCACTGAAGCATAGCAGATGAACCAAATGGTGGAAAATGCAGTGAAAATAGTGACATGGCAAAATGATGGCAGTCAGATCAAATAACGTCAATCAGGTGTTTATGTAGTAACTGGGACAGGCCTTTGTGTGGATGTGAATTATTAAATGCTTTTAGATCACATTTATTTATTTATTTTATTTGATTTACATGATGGGGTGCGCATAGCTCACCACGCTAAGCGGCCCCTTCCCGCACCGGGAACTAGTCCCGGAGTCGGAGGCCCGGGTTCGTATCCCGCTCGGGGCTTGTCACACTGGGCTGCAGGGTGGCACAGTTGGTAGAACTGTTGCCTCGCAGCAAGAAGGTTGCCGGTTCGCGTCCCGGTGGGGGCACCGGAATCTTTCTGCGTGGAGTTTGCATGTTCTCCCCGTGCAGCGTGGGTTCTCTCCGGGTTCTCCGGCTTCCTCCCACAAGGTCCAAATTAATTGGTGATTCTAAAATTGTCCGTGGGTGTGAATGTGAGTGTGCTTGGTTGTCTGTCTCTAAGTGTAGCCCTGTGATAGACTGGTGACCTGTCCAGGGTGTCCCCTGCCTTCACCCTAAGTTGGCTGGGATAGGCTCCAGCCCCCCACGATCCTAGTGAGGATTAAGCAGTGTATAGATAATGGATGGATTTACATGATTTTCTACTAGAGATTTTAAAAACTATTTAGAAGTTTAAATCAAAACTGGATTTTGTCAGAGGACTAAATCAGCGTCTTATTTTCTACCAATGACGTTCAGCAATGTGACAACAAACTAACACCAAAAGGTTAAAACCATTATATCACGACTCCTTGTATTTTTACACAACTGCAACAGTTTAACGTTTCCTAACAGCTCTCCTGCAAAGACAAACTACTGAAAAGCACTGATGCATCTGCATACAGCTGCACATGACCAGTTACACAGACTCCATCTCCAACAGCCTGTGACAGCGGCTTAAAAATGACGGAATAAGAAATTAGAAAAACAAGATGGATGAAGACAGAAAGAGAAACTGGTTTAAGTTGCACAAGAAGGAAAGTGTCAGAAAAATCCATTATTTGCATATCATGACAGCAGGAGCAGCAACCATAACTGAATCATTTATATGTGATTACAGCTGGAGACTGATGGAGTCTGACAAGATGAGGACAAACAAGGAGCCACCGCAGGTCTGAAGTTTCCCTTTCAATTGACAGAAATTGTAATGTACAGCAGAAATAACGTCCTCATTCCCAGCTCTCCACAGGCGGCAGTATTCACGTATTACCTCTAGTTTAAGAACCGCAAGGAAAACATATTTCCTGAAGCAGTGGTTTTACAGTGAACTCCTGCAGACTGTGTTTGATTTATGCAATAATTAAGCTTAAGGGGAGACGCTACAGCTGAACAGGGTACATGTGTTTTATTATTAGATATTACCATGAACCTCCTCAGCTGGTTACTTACATTAAAATGACTTTTTTGTACCCTGAGTTTTCTGAAATTGTATGTTAAATATGAAGTGTTATTAAATTATGTACAGATGCCTTACATTAAATTACAAAACAAAATCCGAACATTGAATAACGCCTAAAGTTTCATTGTGTTGACATGTTAGAGTCAAAGGTTTAAACAGGACAGAATTAGATATTTCTTCATAAATACTATATACTGTCAGTGGCTTTATTGGAATAAAATGTTTAATAAACCAGGCTATGAATGACGAACCTTTTTGTAAAAACCTTCAGACTACAGATAGGAATAAAACTGGAAAATGTGCTGTATGTGAGTCTTACTGATGTAGAGATTTCTAACGTTGAGTATGACAAAAACAATCTTTTTGAGAAAAGGACCTTTAAAGATATATTGTAAAATTCCATACATATGTATCGGAAAAGACTGGCGACCTGTCCAGGGTGTCCCCATAGGCTCCAGCACCCCATGACCCTAGTGAGGATTAAGCAGTGTATAGATAATGGATGGATGGATGGATGTATTGGAAACCAATAATTACAGGTACATTTTTTGACTAAAACATGTTGCCATGAAACCTCCCCAGGTTCCACTACTGTACTATAGATAAAGTGTCGTAAAATAAACATCTAAATGTGTATTTTAGATGTTTTCTATCCAGTAGTCTGAAAGAGGAAATGTTCTGAAGTGTGTTTTTGCCTGTAGTGTGAGGAAGGCACGACAATAACAGTTATACACAACAAAAGCTTGAATGTGGAAATACTGAATACTGATTAAAGAATTCACTCGTAGGGCAGCTGCTAATGATAGCTGTCATGAGTTATTTATTGGACTTTTTTTTCTATATTAATCAATTAATTGTTTATTTATTGTTTTTGAATTCCTATACTCCTTAAACCCAAGAACCATCTTCAAATATCATACTCTGTCCTCAACATAAAATAAAAAAAAACGTATTTAGCTCACTGACGCGAAGAGTCAAAAAGTCACATTTTGAGATTCTGAAAACTACAAACTAATCTACAAGCTAAAGACAGATGTTGTCCTTTTTGAAAGCCACATTTCTCAAACAGGAAATTCTAACAGCACTAATCTGCAGGAGACACCTGTAACCCTCGAACTATAAAAATTTAAGTGTCCCTCAGATGCCTGTCTGACAGAGAGACGGCTGCCCACCTGCAGCACATCCATTACTGAAGCTCAATGGACGATAAAAATAACCCTGATGCTCACTCAGTCAGCCACAGTGAGACTCACAGCAAGACAGAAGAACATGCAGAAATGCATAAAACACAGGGCCTCATGATACTCCAAACAAACCAGCTCAGAAACCCGTAGTAGACATTCAGACTGAAGCCGTGATGATGTTTCTTATTTGAACAGGGCATCAGACGTACATCACAGCTCGGTGCAGATCTGTCCTCACACACCACCGTCTGCAGGAGCTTTCTAGCTTCAGGCAGAAAAAACAGAACAAGCAAGTAGAAGCTCAA